TGCATTTGTTATGCTGGTCTTTGCTTCAATGTTCCAGATTTCATACTTTATCCTGCTGTTCCGTCATGCTTATTCAGGGGAAGATATCAGTCGATGACATTAAGCGAATAGCAAAAGAGCTTGGTGAGAGCTTAACCGACAGAGAGATCCAAGAGATGGTTGATGTTGCTGATCAAGACCGTAAGTAACACAATAATTACTGCCTAATTGATTGCTTTAATCCCAACTTTCTCTGTGCCCCGTCAATCGTCATCTCACTTGAGTTTCTAAATATCTTACAGGGGATGGAGAAGTGAACATCGAGGAATTTTTGAGGATGATGAGAAGAACATCGTACCACTACTGATGCATCTAACAATGAGTTTCTGCTTTTGATTTCAATCATTATCCTGTTGCACAATATACCTATGTTTGTACAAACCGGACATAGCATCAAGATATCTTATGCAAGAAATCTATGGGCTCTACTTTAACTAGCTTCTTCAGGCTGTCCACATTGCTGCATAATGAATTTCCGAGTTTTATGCGTCATTCAGTCCAGAGATCTATGGATGTTATGAGAACTTTATAAACTCGGCGGCAGCATTTTGTCCAACACTGCATGGTTTTAATTCCTCAACCAGAGTTGGTCTCTCTGAATACTCTGCTCCCTGGCTATTCTCTCCATGGGCTCATGTTCGTTCTAGGTTTGAAGCCTAACTCGAGCAGTTTGGCGACAGTAATCTCTGTGGCTATGCTGTTCCTGTTCGTTGATTTTTACCCAAGATTTAATGTTGCTGTCTGGATGGAATTCCATAATTGCAGTCTATGCACAAAACCAGATGCCTTGCAGACGCATTTGAAGTTTTTCCAGGAGATGCTCCATGCTGACTTGGAACCCGATGTAATCACATTTGTAAAGCTGAGTTTCTGTTTAGTTCCATGCCTTACAAGAGCCTCTTGTCAAGGAACATAATGGTCTCCAGTTATATTCACAGTGGCAAATGCAGTTAGCTGGTTTAACACCAGATATAACTTCTGTTGTCAGTATTTTTTTCCATGTGATGAATCAATGGGGGGGCCAAGTCTGCTCATTGATTCTGCACAAGGAAGGGGATCAATTCGAGCATCATCAACATAGTTTCAAACGCACTCCTGTGAGTTCTACCGTGAATGCGATCACATGGCTTATTGCTTTTAAGTTGTTTCAAAGAAATGAAAGAAGCTATAGGGATGCAATATCATGGAATTCCATGATTTGTTCCAGAGTCCACCGAGGAGAAGTGGACGAACGAAACGATTCGTCTGCTTCAACAGATGCAGAAGGAAGGAGTGATTGATTGGTAGGCAGAGGCTGGTTCAGAGCTGGTGGTCTGGGTTCGGGTTGGATCCGGCTTGCGAAGCTATAATGTTGTCGTTGGTGGGATTCTTGATTCCTGGGCGGAAGACAGGAGAAGGGTCTTGTGGTGAATCTGGAATCTGGAATCTAGACAGTGGTGTCAGGTGAGGAATCCAGCTGTTTGGTTGCTTATCCTGTTGGCAGTTGGAAGTTGAACAGTAAAGATAAGATGTTTGTGAGGTGGGGGGAGAGGAATGTTGGAGGGAAGTGAGGCCAGCCACCGTCCACCTGGGAACGCCGTTTAATTGGACGGAGTTTTGTTTTGGAGGCTTAGGAGAAGAAAGAAAGGACAGGGGATAGACAGCAGGAGCTTTCTGTTTAGTTACGTTGGAAATGTGAGTTTGAACTGCTGTCTGCTGGTAAGTAATAGATATTTTGGGCCCCCCACTCCCACGCGCACGCAATCTTCAGGGGACCAATCACCAGATGACACCACTACTATAACTATGTAATGTAAGTACAAATGAAGGACGCCAGGCCACCAATTGGAAGCTCTTTTTGACGGCGTCCAAAAGAACAGAAAAAGGAGAGGAAAGAGCAAAAGCGAGTTGTAATAATAAATAAATAACTAAAAACGTACGTTCGTTTTCATGCACATACTTTTGGATTTTTTATTTTGCTTTGTCCAACCATATATTTCATTTCTAACGGTTTTTTTTTTTTGAAAGTCATTGGAAATTCATTAATGAACCCAGGAGATACACAGATTTTGGGCCAAGCCCCATGGAAGGAACAAAGCACTTGGACACAGGGCCTACCAACAGAACTCAAATAATGAAAGGTTTCGCTAACCACAAAAGGCCTGACAGAAAAGGCAAACAAAATGGCTAGCAAAGCCCAAACACAACAAAGGCCTGAAAAAGTAAACCCTAGCCCACTAATCCTTCATTCCAGCGAGAGGAGCAGCAGCCGCACCAGGGGACACTTCCTCGAACCGATCAGCAGCGGGAAAAGCACAGCAAGACGGCCGGCGAAGAGAAGCAATGTCCGACCAAGCCTTAAACCGCCAACACCCCAAAAACCAACCAGATCCAAGCAAGACACCTCCTCCGCAGCAAAAGCACATGCATCCGAACGATAGAAAAGGAGCCCAAGTGGAGAGAACCTCGCCTTCGAGCTTCACGAAGCTGGAACCGTGGGCAGATCGCAATAGGATGCCCAAGTCTTCTCCGAAACACCGCAATGGTGAAGCAAGGAGGAGGCACAGAGACATGAAGGAGAAGGCAAACTGAGGAAGACCTCAATCCCCTCTGTGATCAACAAAACATCTCAGAGCAGATCCAGATGATCAAGCTTGAGGAAGAAAGAGAAGCACCCATCTTGAAGAAAAGGTGAGAAAAGGCTCCATATAGGAAGCAACGAAGAACAAAGAGAAGCAGGACAAAGCGAAGAAAAAAGGTTAAAACTAAAAGGGCTACCGCCGGCAGCTTGGAAGCGCCGACGGCAGCCCACTTGAGGCTCAGATCTGAAAAAGCTTAGAGAGAAGGGAGAGAGTTTTAAAGCTTAGAGAGAGAACAAGAAAAGGTTTCTATCACTAACCTGCCCACCAATAACTAGCTAGCTGCAAAATGTCCTCTTCCCCTGTTGGGAATGGAAATCTTCATTTCTAACGGTTGGGGAACATTTGTGTTGCCGGTCTTTGGCAGGCACATACGTAGAACATATCAGACAAGTTTGCGGCTACTAATTAACACATGAAAACAATGTGTAATTCCCCGTTTACTAAGATGGATTATTGTAGGCTAGCAATGTAAGTGTTCATTTTTTTATTCCGACTCCGTGGAGAAATTCCGTCCAAAACTTTCAGCAGATATAACTTTTGCAACTTCAACCACCCCATCATTGGTTCTTAGTAGCTCAATAAAGTATCAAGCTTTAGTGTTTTGGTCGTCACACCTGCAACTTGCTATCGGGTTTCACAGTGTACCATCTCAACAACTTCTTCCTTTGTAAACTATTATCAGAATTTCCAATTAGAAAGTATTCTTCACTTCCTCTTTTGAAACGGATTCCATGTCTCATGCATAATTCCCTTTAGGTATCTTAGGATCTTTTTTTTGCAGCAACATGTGTTGCCTTGTTGGACTGAATAATACATTAGATATGGTCTTGTTGTTATTTCATACAACAAGCTTCGTATCAACTATATTTTTGCTTAGTAAGGTTAACCAACACGCTATCTCTAGCTTTATGCAAAAAGTCGTGTCCTTTTAGGATGATTAAACGTTAAAGTGTACGCTGATTTGGATCCTAGTCATTTCACCGCTACAATAACTGATATGTCTTTAACAACATTAAAGTTTGCAACGGAAATGTCTAGATTTTACATACAACCATCCCAAATTCTGGCAATTTTACATATTTCTCCAAAATTAACTATTGTTGTCACAAACTCAAAAATTGTAGCTATCTAGGTGTATTTTGCCTTTATGATAATTATAATTTAATAACTAGATAGCTAGTCAAGCATTTGGAGGAGGACGAATGGATTGAGATGCCGTAATCGTGATCGATTATTCGATCTAAGACGATTTTAGTTTGCCCTTTGTGCGACTATTCCAAATTGTGATTAATTGGCGATATGCCTTCGTCCTCTTGGTGATTAGGCATCCGGGGTTGTGCCATATATGGTATCGCGATTCTCAAATCTTTTCTAATATTGTGGTTTTTCACATGTCATTATTTAGATGGTCATCGTGTGCGACTCGGAGGAGCTATCTTGTAAGAAATCCATGTGCTACAATCACCTTTAATTTCAATGTGTAACATCCTTCCCGCCTCAAAAGTATAATTGGGTTGTCTATTCCGAGACAAAATAAGGTCGTTGATTGTTGGTTTGAACACTTATTGATCTATCGTTTTTCTTTCTCAATTCCATTGCGAAGACATGACCTACCAAAAAAAATCTTATATATATACTGTCTCCCCGCATACCTATGGACAAAAATTGAACATTTTTCCCTTTTTGAACGTGGAAACTTATTTTTTCTAGAGATAAACTACAAATTTGCTGGTCTTGAATTCCCAGATATGGATGAAATAAACAAGGCTAGTCAATTAAAACAAAAAATAAAATAAATTCTAAATTAGGGATATATATAATAATATTATTATTATTACATTTTATCTAATATAGTTTCCTTTTGCTTTACGGAAGGTCGAAAATCAGACTCGTGGGAATGCATTTGACCCAGAAACGTTCAAAAAAAAAAAAAAATCCAAAGCAAACGCTTACCTCCCTGAATTTCAGAAAAATCCAAATGACGTGTCGCATCAACCAAAAAAGAGATGACATCAGCGATTAACTCATAATCCTCGTACTTTCCCTTCGGCTGGAGTCGAGAAACGAAACCTCTCTCGAAAGTGTCCACGCTGGACCCTCTCTGGCCCCCCTCTCTTCCCTAAACCGTGTCCATTTTGACCCGTCCAGCTGGCACCCAATCCGCCACGTGTAACCACTTCCCCCTTCTTCTATATAACGTTCCCCTCCCCTCGCCCCACCATTTCCCGTTCCTTCATATCTGCCCCCTCCCAAAATCCAAAACCCAAATTGAAACTCCACATTTTCCCGCGCTCTGGAGGAACCCTAATTTAATTTCACTCGGTCGCCGGCATAATTTCAATGGAAGCGTTCATCAGAGATTATAACAGACCCAGCCGCATCACCAAGCAGGAAGAGGACTCCATCCTCGTCTCCGCCTTCAAGCACGTCATTTCCGGCGGCGCCGACGGTCTCACCCCCGAACAATTAACCCTCCTCTTCTCCTCTTCTTCTTCCTCCTCCGCCGCCACCGCCGCCGCCGCCGCTCCGTCTTCTTCCTCCTCGTCTGGCGCAACCTCCTCCTCCTCCCTCCCGTCGTGCAGCGGCGGGATCGCGAAGAAGAAGGCGAGGAAGAACAGGTACAGAGGGGTGCGGCAGCGTCCCTGGGGGAAGTGGGCGGCGGAGATTCGGGACCCGGAGAAGGCCGCCAGGGTCTGGCTCGGGACGTTCGAGACGGCGGAGGAAGCCGCCAGGGCGTACGACAGGAAGGCCATCGAGTTCCGCGGGGAACGCGCCAAGACCAATTTCCCGGCGGCCGAGTACGCCGGGAATCGGAGGTCGGCGGCGGCTGGGGCTGAATTGGTAGCCGGCGGCGCTACTCAGGAGACGCGTCCTGTTCAAGAAGCGGTGGCAACGGCGGCGGCGGCGACGACGAACCGGGACGAGGGAGGAGTTGACGACCTGTTGTTCGGGAATTTTGAGGAGGACGAGCTTCGGAGGTTGATGATGATGGATTGAATTTTTGGTTCTTTCTTTCACAGAAACTATGATCCATGAGTCCTTTTTTGTCGTTTTCCCCCGCTTTAGAAGCGCGGTAGGGATGCAGCCAAAGGTTTGTTTTTTTGGAGTCTGCTGCTGCAGTAGCATTGATGTTACATTTAGTGACCATAATTTATTTTTACCAGAGAAAAATAAGTCGGATAATTGATATTTCAGTTGGATTGTGCTCTGTTTGTGGAGAGTGTAGTAGATGAATCTGTTTTTCGTTTCTCAGTCTTGTCTTGGTTTGGTTTGTATGTCGGAGAAATTCGAATTAGCGCGAAGCAACGGTATTTTATAGTTAATAATAATTTTCCTTTTTTTACAAATAAGACGCTATGTAAGATTAATTTTGAATTACACCGTCAGTCGAGCGTCGTGTAACAAGGAAAATAAACATAATGAACTATTGTTAAAAGAAATTAATACGTGGTTGTTATTATTATTTTTTTTTCAAGATTGTTATGTATGTATAGCATGTCGTCCCCCATTTTTCGAGTTGGCGAAATTATTACTTGAAAATCACGTTGAATTACTACATGAAGGGGTTGGGTGCTACTGTGAGAGAAAAAATGTTGAAATGTGTAATGGCACACGTAAAGAAGTTGTGACTAGAAGTTTGGCGGGAAAATGAACCCAACTAGGATGGGTTTTTTATTAATTTTTAAGGATAACGATTTCGAAGGTTGTTCTATTTTAAGGGTCAAAAGTCAAAAGCTCCAGAGAGATTGTATGGGTTGGTTGACCATTGCGATGATTAATTTGCTTATTACGTCGTAAGCGACCACGTACGCATCACTTTTGGCTAGCAAGCCTACTAGCCTAGGGAGTAGGCAGCCGCAATAAAACGGAAAAATTTGGGGCCAGATATTTTTATGTAATGACGGCCGAGTGAGTGAGGGAGTGAGTGTCGTGGGCTCGTTCATTACTCGCTTTGGGCCTTTTTGTCTTCTAGCGCGATAGCCACATTCCTTGGTACTTTCTTTTTAATTTATATCGTCGGCTTTTCAACCAACATTTTCCGGTACATTTTGGAAGTTTGGTACATGAGATATAGACACATATTCACATGCTAATACTCGTTCTATTACATGGTATGGTATGCTAACAGTAGAGGTGGAAAACGGTCCGGTCCAGTTAAACTGGACTGAATTAACTCAGTTTTTTAAAATCATTTTGACTATATCAGCAACTGAAAATTTGAATTGGATTGGGTCCCGGTTCAACTGTGACCAGAATGGATTGAATCCGGTCCAATCCGGTTCCAACCCAAAAATAAAAAATGGTGTCTATTTTCCAAAATGCAAGCGTTTATTTTTGTATTAGAAAATTAAAATGAAAAAATTGCAGGTCACACATAATCCCATCTTACCTATACATCCTCGGTTAAAACACCACGTCTCTTCCCTCTCTCTTCCGTCTCCTTTCTATCTTCCATCTCAATCTCTCACTCAAATCTGCACAAATCATTCACTAACCTAGATCTATCAGGCGATTTTGCCTCAGATGAGGAAGTTCCATTCGTCAAAATGGTGACATGGGAGAAGCGACGAATGACGGCGATGAAGTGTCGGCGAGGGAGACATGCACTATCAGCGGAGGATCTTGACGTCGACGACGGAAAAGTTGGGTTGGCGGAGTGAGAGAGACGCGATTCGAGGGCTAGGCATGTCGCTGGCTCGCAGCCTCCAAAATTGACCAGTGCCCTTGCGTTGTGAGCATCACCATCGGCGTCTCCACTGTGGTCGTCATCCAGAGGGAGATGCCTTCAAAATGAGAGTAGAGGATTGGAGAATAGAGGAAGAAGAGAGAAGCGGCGGAGTGTGGTAGATTGGAGAAGAGAGAATGCGGAAGAAGAGGAAGGCAGGAAGTAGCGGAGTGTGGGTGGTTGTGATAGTTGTGTGTCAGAGATCATGATATGACAGTAGTGAGATGATATTATGAGGTCTTCTCAAAGTGCTATAATGTTTGTATAATAATGGTAAGATAGTATGAAGTAATATATTTGAGTAAATTTTGATGTCATCATACCACTATCATATCATAAAATTATCGTTGTGATTTTAAACCAAACTAGACCGAAGACCGTTATAGTGGTATGGTCCATGGTCAGTATTATACGATATTCTTATCTCTTGGTCTAGTCTAGACCGCGATTTATCGAACTAAATCATGGACCTAGCCGACTTCCCAATACGTGTTAGCAGCTCACTCGACCACTCTCCCAACTCCCCCAATGAGACCCAAGTCTCAACCCTAATTTGGAGAATCACGTCTCCTCCTTCATTCACAACCACATTTCACCAGAGTGTAGATACGATTGTGTCTCCATATAACATTATGTTAATGTTTATGACATTATAGTGCAAGTTGTGATGCTTTGACTTTGTATCTTTGTTATTTATTGAGATTTAGGGTGTCAAAACTATTCATATATGTTGAAATTTGTAACGTCCCGATCCTTTTACCAAACCGAAATAACCGTGGCTCCGGAGCCGACCAAAATAATGTTCAAACACTTCAACAAAAACAAATACAACCGAATCTTTTTTCCATAAAAAAAAAAAGAATTTCAAAAGAAATGCCCTCAACTGTTGGGCGACCTCAATCCATGGTCAACAAGACCCCTCAAACTCAAAACTTCGAATCTCCAGTTTAAATACTCATAATCATGAACGAAAATAAAGAACTAGCTCTAACTCTAACTCCTTCCTGAGCTTCTGGGAACCTCGTCAAATGCTGGTGCGGCTACCCGCCTCGCTCTGTCTCTTCCCGGAATCTGACACCGCATACCCTTCATCAACCTGGTGAGTGAGAAGGGGTCAGTCTCGTCGTTATTTCCTAAGCTCTTTGCCCTAGGCAAACTCCCTACTAACACGTTATTAGAGTTTCCTTTCTAGCACAAAAGTCGTTCACGCTTTCTGCTTTTAAATAACCATTCCTTACTAGCTTAAAGAAGTCCTCTAATCCTATCATGAACTCATAGAAGTTATCTACTTCTATCCTTAACTCATAGACATCCATACTAGGGACCACCGCATTACGTCTCGCCATCCGGTGTCCCTACCCTAGTATGTCAACCGCGTTACGTCTCACCGTCCGGCTGCATAGCCAACTTCGCAATGGCACTGCGTTACGTCTCGCCGTCCAGTCCATGCCCGATCCAGTACTGCGTTACGTCTCTCCGCCCAGTAGTGACCCCAATAAACACGATCAACTGCTAAGTTATGTCTCGCCGTCCAGCAGTGATCTGACCATCCACCGCGTCCTGTAGTGGCCCAACCGCCTAGGGGTTCTTCTTACCACTAACCAACTATAAAAATCATACATTCATACATATTACGACGCGTGCCTCCAGCTTAAGTAGGCGGTGGGATGCCTCACACACATATCGCGCATACTAGAAAAATTACCGAACATAACTTAAAGGAATGACGTAAATTAAATGACCTACGACTGAGATATTATCCCCTTTACACTCACCTCGAAACGATGACTCCTTGATTCCTTCCTTGAAGAAATCCCACTTTAGCCGGATTATCTTGGAAAACCTATTACTAAGATATTCATTTTCTAAGACAACCTTTCTCGATATAAAACCCCTTTCGTTTTGGACGAAGTTTCCACCTAACTTTTCCCTCCTTAAAAATTCACATAGTAATTTTCTCATGTCAATTATGAGATCTTATACCCTGGAAAATTATCAAACCCTTAAAAACCGATCGGCAAGATTTTTATTTAATTAAAATAAACATTCAAACAATTTCTAAAAATAGTAATACATCTTCAAAAATCTCCAAATTAAATCACAGGCATCTACTAGACCTCCTTCAATTTATAAAATTATTAAATGCAGGGTTGTTGGGAAAAATAAGTGCAGGGTTGTTTTGCGGCGCTGCTAGGTGGGGAATAATTGGGGGAGGGTTTTGAGATGGGTGGGGGATTATTAGGGGGCCGATTGGTTACCCTTTCATATGTATATATATGTTTTTTATTATAATAATACTAATAATAATATAATAGTTATTATTATTATTTATAGTCCGCAGTTGTTACCCTTCGTACATAATCGTTAATCCAATCGATTACGTATTAAGGTCGAATCTAAATCCAAAGGTCGGAGTGTTACAAAATTTATGTTTTAAGGCAAAAGAAAATTATTTTCTCAGTTATTGGTTCCATTTTTTTTTGTGGTTAATTAAACAAATTGTTCATTTTCGTGCAATGTGGATTATATGGACTAGACCATACCGAACCAAGCCTTACATGTGTGGTATGGTCTGGACCGTATACATGTGTGGTATGGTCTATACTGTGATAAGATGACAACAAACACATGTTTTTAAGGGACAACGCATTCTTTCTATGCAATTGTTTTTTAATTTCGAGTTAAAATGAAGGAGATATGACTCGATTAATAAAAAATGAATATTAGAAAAAGTAGCATTTGACTGATCAAAAGTCTCTTCTCTCTGCTCTAAGTTTCATGCGAATGAAAAAATGCAAAATGTTGTAGAATTACCAATCCACCCCTCCTTATCTTTGTATGTATTAGGGGCCGTTGGATCAAATTTTATTGAATGACTCCATATTAAGATTTTGTAGGATTTTATAGGATAAGATCGTGTACGCTATCTTTTCCCATTTAAAATTAGTGAATGTCAAGTTGTTTTTATTTATTTAGATTTAGATTGTTATTTATATATCAACTTCAACATATTGAGAAATACCAAAAATTTATAATTAAATAAACATAGCTCACAACCCAAGCCCATAACCTCTCATACTTCCTCACTCTTCGACAATTAGCAAACCCTGAGGGAATCCAAGCTTGGCTTTCCAATTTTTCCTAGATCACTCTTGTCTCTCACGAAAGAGGATCTGGTGACTAACGGGGGTGCTTAGTCACTTGGCTAAGCTCCTCCTAGCACTTGGATTTAAATGGATTGATCTAATTGTGAAATTTAGGGAAGGGATAA